AATGATCTTAATCTCAATTCAGGATAATTTTATTTATACAACCCTACTTAGGCATATGGCCACTACATAATCCTGTAAACAAATTCCATATTTTTAATTTTTGTCTCTTTGCCGCCAAGTAGGTTTACTATCCATGTATGCATTTAATGTATGCAAAAAAGTGACCCCTCGGCTTTTGACTCCCTCAATTGTTAAATTAAAAGAGTTTGATTCCAGCGTTAAATACCGATCATCCTTATTTCGATTTGCATCGGATTTTATATATGCAAAAAATTAAATTTATAAAATTTTTAATCTTATTTTGGTATGGGATAAAAATTAGGATTAAAAAAAAATGGAATCTACTCGTAATACACAGGTGTTCCGTTTTTATTGTTACTAATTTAAACAGGTGATAGAATTTTTCAATTTTAAGATAAAAGTTTCCTATGAACATGTATCGAAAAATTTTATACTTATAAAAGAACTACATCCCCTGAAAGTGGTGCATCTTTTAATGGCTTTTTTTTCAATATTTCAGAAATCATTGTAGAAAAAATTACAAAATTTGGTACAACTGATAACTTTTATACATCCAAACAAATTCAAAGATAAAATTTCGAAAATTTTACTCATGAGCGTCCTAATCTGGGGGGGTATAGGGTAAAAAGTACTCTAACTATTTTGGCTGTTGTTTCTTGTCACTTTCAGCCACAAAATTCTAAATTTAATAGTTTTTTCGACACAACTTATCATTTTTGATTAAAATCAGTTTACAGTAGGTATGTGTTACAAACCATAAAGATGATAAAAATTAAAAATTAAATTTGTTTTACCGTTTAAGACCCGTGAGTAAAAATTTCGACAACTAATCTTTGAATTCGTTCAGGTGTTTAAAGGTTATCAACTGTACTAACTTTTGTAATTTTATCTAATTTGCAATAAAAACAAAAACGTAGATACTATGACAAAATTTTTGTAGAAAATATAATCTATGATATTTTTATTCGGAATATTAGTCGATTTTATTGCAAATATGCAGAAAACGTAATTTACTCCCTTTGATTTAAAACCGTGAGTATTTTTTTAAAACACCACAACTCAATTATAAAGTGCCTGCGGACCACTATTGGCAGAACAATGAGTTAAGAGGAGTTTGGTTTTTTTTAATTTATTACACGGGCTTTAGATAAATCGAAGACCTTATTTGCGTTTAAGCTCTAAATTTTTAGTTTTCTTTAGATAAAACGGTTTGGAAAAACAGAATTGGATAACGACCGACTATTGGAACTGGAGTAAAAAGCTTTGCTAATTATTTCCCAACGGTAAAAACTAATGAAACAAAAGAAACACAAAGATTTGGAAAAACACTTTCATCTTTCAGTCTGAGTGTCTAGTCTTTCCGCAGTTCTAGAAGCCGAACTGTTTATTAATCTGAGGGATAATATTTTAATTAAGTTATTTTGGGTTAAAATGGCTCTAAAATAAATTATGTAGAATATTTTCTACTAATTAAAAACTACTAGGTATACGGTAAACTTTTTAACGAGAAAAATTTCCTGGGGAAAAATTGACAATATGGCCTCTTATTTTTATACTCCATGAATAGAAAACTTGAAAGTAGAAAAACGTTTAGAGATGTCACTCATAAGTTACGTACATGTTTGAGTTCAGTTTTAATGAGCAAAAATACAAATATGAGTTCAAGTTCAACACACTTGGTTATTATTTGAATTTTTTTTTAAATTATGATCAATTGTCCCATAATTCTAAAATACGACAATGAAAAATATTAATAAAAAATGAAAAATGTTAATAAACAAGTCGCTTTGTGCGTCAAAGTCAGACAAATGGGAAAAATTTGCCCATTTATTAAACTTTTTTTTGTAAATATCACAGTTGTTAAATTAAATTAAATTCAGGAACATGTCGAATATAAAATCTGATATTTGTATTTTGTTTTTTGCTTTATTTATTTTATTTACAGTTACTCGATAAAAAACTAATGCATATTAATCAAATTATTGGCAAATAAACTAATAAACTTAGAATATTATAGAACACGAACAAGCTCAAAGCAGATATAATTACACTTTTAGTTTTATTTTTGCAAATGCTTATTTTAATTTTCTTTAACTAATATGAATTATTTAAATTAGTGCTCTGAACATATGTATATTTTTACCTATAAAAACACATCTCATTTCCTTACACACAAGTGAAAATAAAATCTTAGTTAGAGCATTATGCATTTCACTCTACAACATATTTGAAATTATTTGACAGTACATTTAAGTACAATCCGTAGTTCAAGTGTCATTTTATATAAATAGATATAAATAGGTATTTAGATTTTTTCTGAAGCAATTTAAAATTTGTGGCGCCAAGCTTTCGTCTCTATTATCAATATTTAACAAGCAAACGCGATGGATGTTTGACACGAACTTGAAGGAACTTTATAAATGTGATCTCCAACTTGCCAAATGTATTCACAGCGGAGCCTAAAGTACCGAAATTTGTCTTGTCCCGTCTTCCACAGCCGTCCAAAAGAAAAGGTTTATAAAATATTGTTTGATTTAATGAAAACGAAATGCCACAGGCCATCCTCTTTGAAAAATGAATGAAAATTATTCATGTTGCTCAAGTTAAATAAATGAGTCGAGTAAGCACTCTAACACCCTTCTTATCTTCACATTAAGATTGCAGGCCTCGTGTGAAGAAATTCGGAAAAATCGAGTTGTTTTCGTAGTTGTGATGAATTCGTCACCGGTGGGCTTAAACATTATTTGTTTTCGTTGGCCAATAAGAAATGGGGTGCACGACGGGAAATATTTATCTACCTTGACAAGCAAACAAAAGATTAGTATTTAGGGTTTTATTATATTATGTATTTCCACACTTAAAAAAATATAAATTTTTACTTGTATTTGGAAAAGATATCATCGAAAAGCCTATAAATAAAATTACGTCGGAACTGAAACTTTTTCAATTATAACTTTTATAACATCTCAGCTAGAGTGGTGCGTTTTTAATATATCTCTTTTTAATCTATTGTCTATGAATCTTCCAATTTTCAAACGAAATTTGTTGTCAATTAATTTTTTTTTTATATTACGAAACATAAAATGTTTAATCAAAATTAACAAGATGTTTCTTTTTTGTTCGCGAAAGTTTACAGGCATTTTTACAGTTAAATGTTTAATAAAGGTTTTCTCTTGTTAATTTTGCTCGTAAAACTTGAACCCTGAAATTTGTCGTTGAGTTTCAAGGGTCAATAATAATCTCTTTTACTTCAACTTTGACTGTTTCTTTCCTTTATTAAAAATACAAGGGATTATTTGAATCCCCAAACAAGGCATAATTTTCTCGAAAACAAGCTTGTTTATTTTGGAACAATGAGATTTTTGTCACAACTATTAATTACAAACTCAGTTTGCATAAATTAGACTAACAGAATGGCCCGAATTAATTCCGAGGTTTACACTGGGCGCCCAAGTGAAAAAAATTAATTACAAACTTGCCTTATTGATAAATAATCGGTATAAACTTTAATCGTCCTGGTCTCAGGAGGTCACCGCAACTTTGTAACAAGTTCCAAAGTTCGTTGAAAATTTGCTTGATAGTTCGCTGCAGTTTTGCTGTATCATAATTGCAGCAAAAATGCAAATTTTATCTCCCCTTTTCTCTAAAATTCCGCTTTTTAAGTCGTTATGTGCTTCATCCTGACATACTTTTTAATGTGTTTTGCTTCCACGTTTACACATAAAATACGAAGGGTTGCTTAAAACATAATAAAAGTTTAAGACATCCATAATTAATTTAAAGTCATGGCTTACAAGTACTCTAATCAAAATTTACAATTCGTTTGGAGAGCGCTGACGAATTATAATTAATGACGATTCTGCATTTGTTAATCCAAATGCATATTTATGGTGCGCTTTAGAAAACGCCAAGTATTAGGTTTTAATTACGAAAATGGCATAGTTTTTGTGGATAGAATTGCATTTGTTTCCTCTCCGTACAAAGTGAAAATAGATTACATTTCTGTGCTCGAGTGCTATGGAGGATGTAAACTTTTGTTATTCACTGTTGGCATCACGAGAAGTTTTCAAACTGCTAACTGCGAATTTTGCTCAGTTTTGAGCATACGTTGCTCTAAACTCTAAACAAATTTCAAACTGGGACAAAAAGCATAAATATTTTCTTTTTATTAGATCTACGTATTGCTTGTACAATTGGAGACAAAATACTTTGGTCGTCAATGTCACTTGAGTGACATTAAATTTTAAAGCATGCTTTAGGACTGTTAACCTTATTTTTAGCTACTGTCAATCATCGTTGACAAGTTGTATGTACATATTTTTTATAGGAAAATATAATAGCTGTCATTAATTTGAAATTGTCATCCATTTTAACGTTAATGCTTGAATTACATTAAAGTGACAGAAAAGTGACGACCAAAGTATTTTGTCTCCAACTGTATTTAATAACTTATAATACTTATAAATATGTACTACTATTTCACTAATTTTCACATATTATTAAAATATAAAAAGACATATTATTTGAATATTTTGAATAATTCTAAAAACACATTTCTTTACTTCTGATGCGTTATACTCCAGTTAGAGGCATTATATCCAACGAAAACAAAAGTATGAATACAAGCGTAAACAAGTTTTGGTCATGTGAAACATGAAAAGCCTCCCCTAATAGCGAATGATTAATGGTAATTTCGGAAAAGGGAGGAAAATGCATGATTTCTGCTCTCTAATTACTTTCAATTATAAATAACAATTAGTCATTTGAACGTAATACATTTTCCATTAAATAAATTGTTTTGTGGTATTATTTTCATTATAATTAGTTATGAAAATACCAGTTGTGGTTCGTTTTCTTCGTTATTTAATAAAACCGAAAGGATTGATTCCGAAAGAACCAAAATATTTACCGAGAGAATCTGATCATACATAAACAAAATTTCTGTTTGAAAAATATAAAATGATAGTTGTTATTTCCAGATAGCACTGCGTTTCCCCAAGCCCACGTTTTTCGCTTTAAAGGTAAGTTTTCTTGCATAGTTGGAATTTCTATAGCTGCTAGACAAACAGTTTGGTGAATTTCGTGACACTTAAAATCAATTAATTAAGTGACAGCGGTTTGCAACATTGAGGAAATTAAATTTCTAAATTCCTTCAGCAACCGCATTGTCTGTTGATAGTCTATAAAAGTACTTCTTTCTTTTTTGACAGCAGTTCCGCATTGAGAAAAGCCTTTGTTATACTATACAAGTTTTGATGAAACCGACAGCACGGAATAAAAAATGTACTCGGGCTAGTCCTTTTTTCCGAGGGATTATATCTCGTTTGAAAAGCATTTTCGCTTAAAGATATATTGTCGACGTCTTGCGGGACAAATTATTTCACTCTTTAATTTTAGCGACATAGTTTACGACACCGACAAAACCTTTTCACAAAATAACTATAAAATAAATTGTCGCAGCTTGCGAGACGTATTTTTAATGATAAAATAAAATAGAGGAAAATATACGGGAGTAATTGAACAAAGAGCCACCGCTCCTAGAGTAAATAAAATGACGTGCTTCGAAAAGAACGAAATCATTACCCTTCAAACAAGATAAGTATTCAGCTGTAACTGAATAAAGTCAGCAAACACAACATCAACATATTCAAATGCAAATATTTATACTATTTAGCATCTCTAAAATGTATTGTTTAAAAGAAATTTGGATCAACATACATATTTGGATTGCTACTAAAAATAGAATCATTACTACTCGTAATTTTTAAATAACAAAAATTTTTGTGCAGCAAAAATGCTCTATTTTATTTTTTTGCAAATACTTAATCCACTATTCAAAAACTTCTTTGGAACCAAGTTATTAACATTATGTTGAACCACAGAATAGAATTAACACATTATTCCTGTGGCTATTTAAAATTAAAAGGTGAAATGGGAAGGGTGTGAAAGCCAACATCTTCCTGAAGTGATTAAGACAAAAGACTTTGTTACCTTTAACCCTTTCAATTTCATTAAATCTCCTCGAAGAAAACAGATCATATTATTGCAGATGGAGATAACGGTAAGACAACTTGCTTGCTTGATTACTCAAAAGCATTTGATACCATCAGTCATAAGCTACTTTTGTCTATCTTAAATTTTATTGGTTTTTCACAACAAGCTATAAAACTTCTAAACAAATCGCAAGCAATATGTAAGAACCGATATTGGTAATTTAATTTGGAATATATATTTTGTGGCGTACCTCTGGGTTCGATTTTGGGACCGTTATTTTTTTTATACAGGGTGTTTCACATAATTTTACGAGGCCTGCGCCTGTAAGATGCAATCAATAATACATATTCCGATACGAACTCGATTACAAATTTTGAAAAATTGGATAATCTTCTCCAGTTTGTTCACCCTTTCAAAATTACAACGTTTTTAGTTAGTTAGTGATTAAGATAGATAAACTACAATCACATTCATGCCGTCTCTTGATAGAACAAATGATAATTGTTTCTAAAAAGCTGCAGTTTATGACTATTAATGAAAAAGGGATTAGTTTGACAACTACTGTCATAGGTTTCCAAAAATTAAATAATTAAATGTGTAAATTTTGTATCCAGTGTTCTGTGTGACTTGTGTATATTTGGGTGCGTACATTAGACGCAAGCCTCGTAAAGTTATGTGAAACACTTTGTATATACCAGCAATCTTTCAAAGTGCTTGAAAAACTGTAAAGTTCATCTATATGCAGATGACACTCAAGTTTACTATAGTTTCGATTCTCATAATTTGAAAGCTGCGAATGACATTATTAATAAAGATTTACTGCGACTTGTTGAAAACTTTAAAAAACATAAATTCTGCTAAATCCAAAATTATGATTTTTGGTAAAAGTAAGCATTATGTTTTAAATTTAATTCATGTTTGGGTAGGAAGTTGTAAATTAAATTGCACAAAAGAAGCAAAAAATTTGGGGCTTTTATTAGATACTGATTTACGATTTAAAAATCATATAAAAAATGTACCTACTCAATAAACGTATATAAGTCTTAAAAAGCTATATCCTCATAGACATATTTTATCTAACAATATTAAAATTATATTAACTGAATCCCTAGTTCTAAGTCACTTCAATTACCTCGACATGGAATGTGGACCTTGTGTAGATATAATAACACAAGAACGTATTCAAAGAGTACAAAAATCTTGTCTACGCTATATTTATGGTATCAGAAAGCATCTACCCATCTCACATAAACTTAAAGTTATTAGAGAGTTTTTGCAAACCGTAAAAAGTTTAACATATTACGACAAATGGTCGTTGCTAAGAAATCAAAAAATAAGACGTTTACGTAAACGTCTTTGAATTGACGGAAAACGCCTTTCGCCGTTGAAAAAAGTACACACGACAATTAAATGACGTTGTCGTTAAGGTTAACGTTAATCTTAACGATTTGCAAAAACTCTCTATTATTATTATAAAATTTAGGCATTGACCTTTTCTACGTGGCCAAGGAGTCTGATCATTAGGGATAGTGTTATCAACTAATGAGTACAACTTTCTGTTAATTTTGCATTAAAGTAGATAAAGAAACTTGCGTACTTCATGTTTTTCTGGTCTCTCACACTCACTTGCTTTTTTGTTCCATAAGGATAATGCACTAGTTTTCAAGCTCTAAAATTCATTTATCGGTTTGTTAATCTGTATCAGATCGAAGACAAAGTTGAGAAGGAACAATACCTGTGAAGAAGTTTTAGAGAAGTCGGTTCATCAGGAATTTCTAGAATGTTTTGATTTTTGATTTTTGATAGTTGTTGATAATAATTAACGATTCTGTCTCATTATAGTCGTATACAACCTCTTCAGCGAGAAAAATACTGGAAACTAGCAGGTTATGTCACCCATATCACGAAAATTAATAAATGTCAAACTCAAAATTACAGTAGACCAGCTATTTTTTTAAAATTCTGGGCAAATTGGTATAATTTTTGTAACCTATAGCAACGGATATAATTTTTCAATCACACTTTGAGGTGCTTTTTTGGAATTGGTAAATTTAAGAGTCTAATAACTTTCTTATGCAAGCAAAAATTACTTCCTCGGCTGCACTTTTTGGCGACCTATTGCCGCCGGCATTTGACATTTTTCTCTGTAGCGCGAGTTCTGACGCATCCTATATATGAACACAGACAAGAAATAATTGTATATTTGGTTTACCGGCAGCCAGCCAAGCTAATTTAATTATTTTTTTCAATCTGATTCTTATTTTTTAATACTACAGGGCAATTCAGATATGATATGAGATGAGCCTGACAAAAAACAAATTTCATTTACGCCTTTGATCAAATTTAAATTAGGATTTGCAAGTTGAATCTAAGTTATGTTACTCTGACATCAGCGCAGTGCCATTCAGTTCTCACGGAATGATAGAGAAATTAGAGAAGTCTTTTCGGAGTAAACCCAATACAAAATGTATGAACGAATGAAACATTAAAGGTAGGCAAACGGTTTTTTTATAAATCATAAATTGCTTGTCAAAGCAACATAAGATAACTTGGATTGCAAATGCAAATCGTAATTAAAATTAGTTCAAGACGTAAATGAAATTTGTCGGGCTCATTATCTTATCCGAATCACCCTTTAAATTGTATTATGTTTACAATATTCTAATAACATACGAGTTTAACACACATTTATATTATTAAAAATTCTTAACATTCAGTTTTGTTCAATGTTAAGTCATGTAGTCAATAAGAACTTTATTTACAAAACAAGGAAACTGACTTGATAATATAATCAAGTGATATCACTTTAATCACATATTGAGAAAGTTATTGTGGGTTGAGTTGTAACCGAGAAATGTATCTAAGTTTAAAGATTGAAGAGATTAATTGGCGTCTGGCCGTCTCGTAGCTTTCTTAGAGATACGAATGTATAATCTTTGGCCAAGTTTAGATTTACAGTCGGCAAAAAAACTCCCAAGTGTAACACACAGTAATGCAAATAGAAGCGTTTTAGTGTCTGTAGTGTCAGATTTATTCACCATATAATATTCCTCTCTTAATTAGAACCGCAGCAATAAGTTATGTTGTTTTGTAAAAAACCTTTCCGTGCATAAACTCGAGCAAGTTTCATGTAAATTGGCTCATTTGTTCTGGAATTAACTGACAAGGAGGTGGATTGACAATTTCGTGCCAATCAGGCCTAACGAGTATAACAAAACAAGAAAGGTGTGAGTTTTTCAGCGCTTCGATATTTGATTTACGTTCAACCTTGAAATTTTCATCTCTTATTTTATTTATATTCAAAAGTTTTATGTGGACCCCTCACCTGCCTTTGGCAAGAACGCGAGGTCAATATAAGATTTATTCAGCTGAAAGCTTCCAAACAAACAAAAAATTTATATCACACTCTTTGGTTTTATTGTATTACAGCTAAGCCTTTGAGAGCCGTATACTTTGTAAATTACATTTCGTTCATAATCGGCTTTTGCATCGGAAAATCAAATCTTTTCCTCACGATTTTAACTAATGAGGCGATAATGACAAAGGTGTATAAAGGACTGTGAAAAAAGAGCAGATCTGCTTAGACAAACTCTTTACAATTAAAAGTTGGCAAAAGTACACAAAAGTTAAATATACAGCCGTAATCGATTCTTTGATTAATGAGACCTGTGACCAAGAATAATTAAAAAAGGCAAGCCTAGTTTAATTTTAATATGGAAATTCTTATAAATTAAACAAGACTGCTGCTTGACGGAGTTCGGGTTTTACAGCGTGATGTAATTAACTAAACAACTTCGGCCAATAAAATTTAAGGACGTGCATCCGCATGAGTAATCACCGGACGGTTTGTTAATTTTGAATTCAAAGAAGTTTTGAGTTTACGGTTTAGAGAATCTTACAGATGCTAGTCTGATTTCTGAAAAAAACCTGACAAGCAAACTCATAGAAAATTGAGTAAAAAATATAAGAAAAATAAAGTACTAAACAAAACAACTAAATTTTAGCAATTAAAATTGAAAGTACTTAT